GTATATTAATATGTACAACTAAAATTACTAATAAAGATATGAGCAAGGCCTCACCTTAATACCAAAAAAAAAATAACTGTTAACTAATTAAATATTTGTCATAACAATTTTATAACTGAATATTTGTTATAACAATTTTATTGTAACAATTATAATTAATTTAATATTTACAAATCAAATAAATAAATAAAGAGTTAATAATATATAAATAATAAAATAAAAATCTATTATTTTATTTTATATTTGTCAAATAATAATAAAATAATAACAATATAACAAAATGCTTGTCAATATTAATAATATAATAATAATATATTAACAAAATAATAAAATATTTTCATTAATTTACTTTTAATGTTTATAACTAAAAGTAAAATACTAAAACTAATCTATCATTTTATTATTAATATATTTAAAAAAATACTAATATTGACAAACCTCCTATTATTTTACTAGTATTTTACTGTTATGTTTCTATTATAATACTATTATTTGACAAATATAAAGTAAAATAATGAAAATATTATTTATTTATTATTTATTCTTTATTTTTTTGTTTAATCTATAATTCTAATTAGAGATCCAAAACAGATATATTAAAAGTAAAAAAGTAAACCAAATTATGAATTAATAAAAAGAAAAAATTTTATTGCTTAATATTTACTAATTTAATAGTTCTTACTTTTGTTCATTGCTAAAATTTTTTAAAATGCTTATTGTTCGTCTACTAAGTATTGATTTTAACAATTTTATTAAACTACACCTTATTCAAAATGCTTCTCATTTATCTTCTAAATTACTTTGCGGATTACCAAATTACTTTTACAGTTTATAAAATAAGAAATGAACTTTCTAATTTTTTTGTCTTACCTTTCCTAAATTCATATTCGTACCCTATCTTGTGACAATAAATTGTTACCTTAATAGAACTTTATTATGAAATAATAATCTACAAAAATCAGCCGATCACAATAAAGCCTGATATGCTAACCAAGAGTGAGTATATAAACTTATTAATCTTATTATCAAGAAATATATAATCTAAATAATAAATTTTAACTTCTTCATATTACTCTTAGATACTCAATTTTTACAAAATCGTTTTTAATAATGTATCCGGAATTTTACAATAGAGATAGTATAAAATAGGCAAGTGAAAAATACAAAATTTTGAATTGCATTTTTTTAGCTTTTTTTAGGGCAGAATTTATACTAAACAGGTATAAGTGGGTTTTAGGAGATTAAATAGGAAATTAAATAGAAACTCCAAATTTAATTTTTGATTCGCAACATTAATTAAGGGGTATTAAAATATTACAATAATGTTATAAAAATGTTTATTTGCTATAATAAACCATTAAAAATTAAACCAAAACATTTATAAGTAAGTATTGTAAAATTGCAAGTTTGACTAGATTAATATATATATAATGCTAATATAAATATTCTAAATATTCTAAGTGTAATAAAATTAATCATAAATATACATATATGTAATAAACATACAATAAACATACAATAAATATTAATATTAATCTTGACCATCCGTACTACATAAAGATATTTACAATATACGTTCCAGATCATTCATATGTTCTTCCAAAGCGTCATCACTGATAATATTACACAACTCAACCTGCTTTTTAAATTTTACTTTGTCGGCTTTACCCATCAAAATCTCAATTTTTACTTTATGCGAAACTTCAAATAATTCTGTAACACAACTGCAATTTATTACTGCTTCGTTATTCCACAATTTTTTTACCTTTGATAAATCCAATTTCACAATCACACTAAACTCATTTTCGCTATTTGGTATAGGTAACACTTGACTACCATTCACAGATTGTTTTATCAAGCATCTTTTATAATATGATGCCATAGTTATTAGTTTAAAATACTCCATTAATTTCACAAAAATCTTCTTCACTGTTACTTCTTGATTAAATAATCGAAAATTAATTGGAATATTAATAAAACCATGAATATCAAATGCTGTTTTATATATCAATACTCTACATTCAAATAAATTGGTTTGTTTAATTAATAATTCCGGCTCATAAACTGGACATGTTGGTAATTGCCATCGTCGAATATCTACCCTAACTTCAACAAGTTTTTCCGAATTCTCAAAAATTTTAGTTGTTTTTCGATGAATTATCGCACTCATAGTGTAATATATCATTCCGTTTGCCCTATATTTACCAACATAATTTATTGAAGAAGGTGACTCTTTTGGAATTACAAAACTAAACGGATAATCAAAACATGTTATGTTTTCATAGTTGGAATTGCTCTTCCAAATACATTTCACTTGCATGCAAATTTCTCTGCTATTAGAGCAATGATAACCATTGTAATCGGACCATTGAATATGAATTATTCCTGAAAACAAAAGTTCTATCTTTGTAGCTCGTAACGGCTTCGATTCAGGATATCGTATATGAAATACACCACTCACTTCCGATGAATTTAAACCTAAATAACCGTTTTGAAATTTTGTTTGACTTGAACCATAGGTAAAATAAGCTTTTGATGAGCGATATAAGTATTTACTTTTTTCTGGCCCAATTCTCTCAACTTCCAAAGGGGTTTCGACCATTCTATTTAGATAAATATAAAAAGGTTTGTTTGCCGTCCAATTTCAATTTAAATAATTTACAATTATATTCTGATTTGGTTGAAATCGGATTTATTATTGTCTCATGATCGGATGATAATAATAATGATTTTCTACATTTATACGTATAATATAATTTTGAAGTGACACTAAGTAATCACATGGATACACATGAATTCATGTGTTATCAACGATTATCAATAGATATTACACTCCAATCTCCATAAGTGCACACACCTAGGGCCGAACTTTAATGACGTGCACCTAGAGAACAATAAGTAAATGTGTATTTATGGTGTCATTTATATATTTCGGCCTGAATTTAAGCGTGCATTTAGAGAGGGAGTGCACTTATAGATGATGCACTTATAAAGATTTCACTGTATTACTTCTCATTAAGAAATATTACACCCAAATTTTTTTAATAATAAGTAAAAAAAATTATGGTATTTGCAAAATAAGATTGATCGGATTTTAAAGTTATAGCATTCAAGTTGTAATAGTCAATCATAATAAGCAATAATAAGCATTGATACTGTACGTAAAAATACGTAATGGTAAAAAATAACTGTTAAATATTTATTCTTTATTTCATTATCTTGCCCATCGCTAATGTTATCGCTATGATTTGGTATTTGTAACCATTGCAATTAGTGTTCTGCAAACAGATAACCAACTTCACAATTAACCAATACAATTTTATTGGTCAATCGCAATAATGAAAAATTAAATTATCGGCGGTAGCATTTATTTCCCTACAATCATTTTCCCGAAAAGGCCTGATTTAGGGATCTCTTGCAGTACATAATAAAGAGATCACCTATACTGCATGTGCATAGTGTGCTTTCATTGTGATTGGTTAATTTTTGAAGATCATCCCGTGATATTCATCCCGTGATATTCATCCCGTGATATTCATCCCGTGATATTCATCCCGTGATATTGCAAAATAATCGACAATCAAAAAATCGATTAAGGTGAAGATATTTATACATAAGTAGCTGCGCGACGTCGTCACGCAAAACCAGGAACGGAAGGTGGATTTTCAGATCGAGTTGCAGATGAAACTG